GGCTTCCTCGACGGCGCCCCGAAAAGGTAAAGGTGGGTGAGGACCCCCTCAACCTCGGGCCGACCGAGGAGAACCTCCAGCACGTCGAACGTCCACGCCGAAGGGGCCCCCCGACGGGAGGGAGGAGCAGCGTGCTCCATCACAGCCGGGATTTCGAGGCGGAGGGCGACGAAGAAGAAAAAGAAGCGATACCAAAAACGGATCGTCACAGGTCTCGAGTCCTCGCCGCAGCTGGGGTCGTAAGCACCGTCAAGGCTGATCACCCACACGGCAACCGAGACAAGCGAGGGCTCGGCAACCCTCTCAAACTCGCGCAGGAAGTCGTAATCGCTTCGGGCCCCAGCGAAAGAAGGAAGGAGGTACATGGTAGGCTGGCCGACTGGCCTGGGAACTTGGCCCGCAAGGGCTCTGTCCTCAGCATCAACTCGAGCCATGGAGAAAGGTTTCCAGGCACGTTTCTCCCACGGGGCCAGGGCAGGAGGGCAGAACGAACCCCCAGGGACCCGAAAGGCCGGTTTTCCAGCAAAGTGTTCAGGTCTACCCGTTTTGCGGTTAGCTTTCCTGGCTGCGGCTGTGTCTTCGTTATCCTCAGGTAGCTGCTCGGGGGTCTTGGGGGGCGTCATGGGCCGCCAGGCCTCTCCGCACCGATCTCCTCCTCCTCCTCCTCCTCCTCCTCCTCCTCCTCCTCCTCCTCCTCCTCCTCCTCTCGGCGGGAGGGGAGGGCGCCGCAAGGACCGCGGGGGGGGGCCGGAAGCTCCTCGACCCCGTGGATGGAGCCAGGGGCGCGCGCCCCCCACAGCGGGTCAGAGGAGGAGGATGAGGAGGAGGAGGAGGAGGAGGAGGAGGAGGAGAGGAGGAGGAGGAGGGGGAGGAGGAGGAGAAGAAGGAGGAGGAGGATCATCTCTAATTCTGGCTAGCTGGGCGGAATCATCGGCGAGACCCTTGGCCCGGTGGCCCCCCCCGCAGGACCCCCCCTACCGCCCCCCCCCAATGATTGGGAAGGGTTCCCTCCTTAGATGGTCGTTTTGGGTACCCTCCCGGGGCCCGCCTGACAGGTCGGTTTGACTCCAGTTCGACCCCCGCTCGGCTCAGGTTCGACTCAGGTTCGACTCGGGTTCGACTCGGGTTCGACTCAAGTCGACGGACGTTCGACGCAGCTTCGACGCACGAGTGGAGCGAGTGTCTCCAGGAAGATCCCCACAATGAGCATCCAAGGGTTCCCTTTGACTCGGTTGCGACGTTGTCCGATTCCCACCGGAGTAGGGGGGGATCACGACCTCTGGGACCCTCTGGGGGATCCTTCCCGGGACCCTCTCCCAGGACCCCCCCTCGAGGGACCTCCCCCGGGACGCCCCCCCCCCACCGGGCGGGGAAGGGATCAAAGGGAGGGGGCATGCCTTCGACTCGGTTGCGACGTTGTTGGGTTTCCGTCTGGCCAGATCGCTCGAGGGGGAGGGCTCAAGGAAAGGGGGAGAGTGGCGACAGCGACGACGACGACTCGAGCGAAAAGGGGAAGCGGCGACGGCGTCGTCGACGACTCAAACGGAAAAACGCCTCACACACGCCGACAGCGTCGGCGGATTTGGGAATGAGCCTTGGCGCAGGCAGACAAGGAGGAGGTGGTGGCCTATGGGGGGACATCGGGGAGGCGGCGGAGGGGGCAGCCATGGGGAGGACAAGAATGAGGATGTGGCCGAGGCGTCGGCGGCGGAGGGAGGAGGGGAAGCACGAGAAGGGAGGATGGGGGAGGATGGGGGAGGAGGCGGACCAGGACATGGGGGTGGCGACCGCCGCGGCGGGGGTGGGTGGGTGCGGGAGGATATCGATCGAGAACCCGCTCCCGCAGTTCATGCAGGATCCGCGCCGTCCGACGCGGCCGCCGCGCCCCCTTCCCCTTGCTCCCCCCCGAAGCAGCCGCCCCGCACCCGCCTCGCCGCGCGTCGCCACGGTCGTCGTCGCCGCCACGGTCGTCGTCGTCGTCGTCGTCGTCGTCGTCGTCGTCGTCGTCGTCGTCGTCGTCGTCGTCGTTGTTCGTCGCCGCCGCCGCAGTCGTCGTCGTCGTCGTCGTCGTCGTCGTCGTCGTTGTCGTCGCGGTTTTGGTCGTAGTTGTCGTCGTTGTCGTTGTCGTCGTCGTCGTCGTCGTCGTCGCCGTGGGTGGCACCCGTGAGCGGTCTGCTCACGGCTGTCGCATATCGGGCGGGGGGCACCGCGCTACTGACTGTCACATGGATTCGGAGGGGGATGAAATTGATAATTGTTTCGATGGTGATTCTGATTGTGGTTGTTGCCACTGTGGTCATTGTCGGTGCTGGTTGTGATGATGGTAATGGAATTGGCGACCATACAACTGTTCATGATTACGACTAGGACCTTTGGATGTGAGCGGGTAGTGGGTAGACATACGATGATGGTGGTAACGAGGATGATAGTAATGATGATGCTGATGATGATGTGACGATGACGTTGATGATGGTGGTGATGCTGGTGATGCCGCTGATGCTGCTGATGACACTGATGGCGATGATGATGATGCTGCAGCGTATGCTGATGACGAGGATGATGATGATGATGTAGAGGATGATGTGGAATCTGATAATGGGGATGATGCTGCTGCTGGTGATGATCATGATTAAGTTCATGATGATGACGATGGTGATTGTACGGATGCTGATGAGGATGATGATGCCGATGGTGATTATGATGATGGTGATGACGATATTGATGTTGTTGCTGATGCTGATGATGATGCTGATGCTGATGATGATGCATGTGCTGGTGATGATGCTGATGCTGAAAATGCTGATTGTAGTATTGATGCGGATGACGATGATGGTGACTTGCTGATTGTGATGATGCTGACGATGACGAGGATGCTGATGACGCTGATGTTGCTGCTGATGATGATGCTGACGATGCTGCTGGTGCTGATGATGATGATGACGACCCACGAATATGACGATGCTGATGATGATTTGATGGTGATGATGATGAAGATGAAGATGAATAGGATTATGATGATGATGCTGATGATGATGATGATGATGATGATGATGCTGATGATGATGATGATGCTGATGATGATGATGATGATGATGATGATGTGGATGAGGAGGTTGCATGTAGGCAGGCTGACAATGCAGTATACCCGTCAAGGGAAAATCAACAGTAGGACGAGCATCGGGACGGTGCTATGGAGGTGGTTGAGCATTTGGATGATGAGCGGCATCACGAGGAGCATGCATGATGATCTCCAGCACACAGGAGTGGTATACTAAGAAACCTGATGAGGAGGAATGAGTCGGGGGGAACAGGAGTAATGGAAGGGCTGATGGGGTAGTTCGAAAGGGGGGGGGAAAAGGGGAAGGACGAGAAGGAGGCATGAGTAGTGAAAATGATGGAGGAGGTAGGGAGGTGGACGAGGAGGCGCGGGGAGGCAGGACAGTGGGATAAGCAGGAAGCACTTCCGAAACTTCTGTAGGGGTCCTAGCGGATTTCATATGGTGTGATGAGGTATAGCGCCGATTTCGGTGGCACGCCCGGGTGCCCGGGTGCCTGGGTGGGTGCCGGGTAGCCCTATAGCCCTGTAGCCCTGTAGCCTTATGGCTGTATAACCCTATAGCCATATAGCCCTGTAGCTCTATAGCCCCACAGCCCTGTAGCCCTATAGCCCTATAGCCCGATTGCCCTATAGCCCTATAGCCCTATAGCCCTATAGCCCTATAGCCCTATAGCCCCATAGCCTTATAGCCCTCTAGCCCTATAGCCCTGCAGCCCCTTAGCCTGATAGCCCTTTAGCCCTATAGGCCTTTAGCCCAATCGCCCTATAGTCCTATAGCTCAATAGCCCTATAGCCTGATAGCCCTGTAGACCTATAGCCCTATGGTCGTATCGCCCTGCAGCCCCGTAGCCCTATAGCCCTAAAGAGATTATGATTCGGTTTTTTCTCCGGTATCATACTGAGTGGTAGTGGCGAGACTGTCACGACAAAGAGTGCGGTGCCCGGTGAAAGTAGTAATGACAGATTTTGAAAGGGTATTGGGGAGGGGGAGGAGAAATGGTGGGGGAGAGAGGAGGAGCACATGGGCAGGATGAGGAATACGATGAGCAGGGAGGGGCTCGATGAGTATGACGATGATGAGGGCGACGCCGACGACAAGGAGCAGGATGATGCTGATGACGATGCTGATGCTGATGCTGGTGCTGCTGATAGTGATGACGATGCTGCTGATGATGATGGTGATGCTGATGCTGATGATTATGGTGATGCTGCCGCTGATGCTAATGATGATCATGACGATGATGAGGAGGAGGAGGAGGAGGACGATGATGTTGATGCTGCAGCTGCTGCTGCTGCTGATGATGATGATGATGATGATGATGATGATGATGATGATGATGGTGGTGGTAATGATGATGGTGACGGTGATGGTGATGATGATGATGGTGAAGAGGAGGAGAGGAGGAGGAAGAGGAGGAGGAGGAGGAGGAAGAGGAGGAGGACGAGGAGAATGAGGAGGATGATAAGGGGGAGGAATCGGAGACAGAGGGGAGACAACAAAGAGGACAACAATGATGACGAGGTCGAGGGTTACGAGGAGGTGGATGAAATTTGGAAGGATGTGGAAGAGGAAGATGGGGAAGGAGGAAGAGGATGAGGAGAATGAGGAGGATAGGATGAGGAGGGGGGAGGAGAAAGGAGAAGGCAGCATTGGGAGGGATGGGGTGGGTACGGATGCAGCAAGTGGAGGATGTATGGTGAGGAGAAGGAACAGTATGATGAGCTCGAGTGTTCTTAGTAGATCAGGGGGTGTCCGAGGAGAGGAGGCGGACGACGGAGAGAGGGAGAGCATAGTGAACAACACCAGATGGAGGAGGCGAAGCGTGCACGGTTTGACGGGCAGGACATCCTGGACAAGAAGTTGGATTTGATAGAGAAGTGCGACCCGACCGCCGACCTATACGTGGGCTGCCAGTACTGGGCCATCGGAGATGAGCAGCTCATGAATGCACACCCGAAAGACCTTGAGTTCCGGTCGAAGGCGATTACCGCTGGCAGCCTGGCTCCATACCAGCTTCTTGAATGATTGCTGCCACCTGATTGTTTATACAGTAGGCACGCCAAGTAAGAGACATGCCTGCCAGCCTATGCCCAACATAAGATCTCTTCTCTCACGACAGTCCTGGTGGCCTACAGACGCCTCGGGGCACCTCGGGAAGCTCAAAGCTCGATGGCAATGTTGCCCCTAGATCTCTTATAGCACGATGTCTTATCATATGTGTCTACTGTTCGGTTCCCTTCAGCTTCCCCTTGTGCTCTGCCGAGGTGTAATGTTGTGTTCGGACCTGTCTAGTAACGCAAGATGGATACATCATAAGCAGCAAACTGGTATTCCTTTACCTTCCGGAACACATCCCCATCCTCTGATCATGATGGCCTGCTTCTCCCCGCTGCCCTATCCCTGCATGTTCCTCTGTCCGCCTGGTTCTCCCTCCTCTTTCCTCCCCCGTGTTCCGTCCTTCCACCCTCATCATTCCTTTCTCTCTTCCCTGCTTGTTGCTTGCTCCCCTGTTCTCCCTTTTCACCCCTGCCCCAAGTGTCGCCCAACGGTTCCGAACTCTGTCATAGGAGCTTGCCTCGGTGTTAGATTTTGATGTCTGACGACGGCACGTGGCGTCCATCGGTAACTCCACTTGTGGTTACTCTGTTCTCCCTCGTGCGTCCTCCGTTATCCGTTCTCTTTTCTTCTTCCACGCCCCTCCCGCCTCACTCACTCCCTCGTTGATGATGTTGCTTCTTATGACGTCTCAGATACTCACAGTCATGTCGATGGCGAGGGTACAGATGATAATAATTCTGGTGATCACCAGCATGATGAGACGATGGTGACGGTGATGACGACGACGATGTTGGTGAGGACAATGCTGATGATGACGATGCCGATGAGGACTGCGGGTGTTGATGCTGATGAGAACGATGATGAGCTGGCGGAATATATAATCTTAGCGATGGCGATCGTGACGCCGTCTTAGGGCAATAATCGTAATGGCGGTGCTGACGCTGCCGTCCCTGATGTTCTTATTGATGCTGAATGCGGGGTGGTGGAGGAGGAGGAGGATGAGGAGGCGGAAGGTAACGCGGAGGAAAAAGTTTGACCAGTATGAATCTGACAAGGAGGGGGAGGTGGCAGGGCTGGGTGGGTGAGTCGGACGAAGAGACACCAATGAGGAAAGTGTGAAGAGGACGAGGGTAATGATACAGCAGAAGGAGGATGCGTCTTATAATGGGAAAGAAGAGGATGAGTAAGTCGCCGATGAGACGAAAGAACATGTGATGACACGTATAAGCAGCATGATGAGGTAATGCTAGTCAGAAGGATGCTAAGGAGCAGGAGGATGATGAGTACGAGGGTGATGATGTTGAGGAGTCCCGCCCCGCGCGTGCAGGTGATGCGATGGGGCCAGCGGAAGGGCATCAGCCTCGACGTCCTCGACAGGCTCTTACTCTTGCCCAAGCCGGAGATCGACTCCATCCTTCAAGCGTACGTCCCGCCTGGCGACAGAGGTCAGGAGGGAGGGTTGGAGTAAGGGAGGGAGGGACAGGGAGACAGAGCAGGTGGAATGAGCGGGCATTGGAGGGAATTGAGCAGGATCGGGCCGGAAATGAGGGCTAGAGGTGGGGTGGAGGAAGAGGATGAGGTTGAAGCGGTGTGGTGGTGTGGTATGAGGCTCGGGGTGGGGGGGGTGGACGAGTGAGCCCTCTAGGTGCCTGTCTGAAAAACTGTTGTATTACCAGTTGACTGGGACCGGCCCTTGCAGCCGAAGATCTCGGGACGGGCCCGCCAGCAGGGGGAAGATGACGACGAGGAGCAATGGCAAAGGCACACGGATGGGGGAGGAGGATCGTCACGGGGAAGACGAGGAGGCAGAGAATGATGAGCACGAGGAAGAAGAGAATATTTTCGGCATCAGCGATCACGGGGTCACATCCACCTGCATACAGGGGCAGGAAGGGCAGGATGGTGCACGGCAACCGGCGGACGGATACGACGAGAATAACCACGCGGCGAATAAATGCATGACGATGGTGGTCGTGGTGTCAGCAGACGTGGACGGGGGAGGGGATGCAGGTTGTGACGATATCGGTCGTGGTGGTGCTTGGCTCGCCCTCGCGTCCTCTCTCCTTCCTCCCCTCCTGCCTCCTCTCCCGCTGCTCCTCCCCCTCTCCGTACGCCGTAGCCTTTGGGGCTCAAGCCAGCTTGGCTCTAACCTGTCCATCACCCCCTGTCGGCGGCGGGCGAGGGGGGGAAGTGAGAAGGCGAAGGCCTTCTCAGAAGGTTCGGGAGCCCCCCCTGCATTCTGAGAAGTTTTCTAAGCCTTCCCCGAAGACGCAGGACATTCTAAGAAGGAGGCGGGGCTTCTCAGAAGCCCCGCCTCCTTCTGAGAAGGCCTTCTCCTTCTCACTTCCCCCCCCCGCCCGCCGCCGACCCCTGGCCACCTCAACCGAAGACCACAGCGCGCACAAGACTCGCACCGTGATGGCGAAGTCGTGGCTGCTCCTCCTTGCCCTGGCGTCTCCAGTCCGCGTCCCCGGCCTGGTCCACCGAGGGGACGGCGTGGCCCTCGAGGCCTCCGAGGACTCCACCTTCGACGTCGTCTTTGACGTGGCGCTGCACGGGGATTCCCAGGAGACCAGGGGCGCCACGGGGGGGCGCGACGTTCTTCGCGGGTTCGCGATCTACCCCATCCTCATCCTCCTCGTCCTCCTCTTCGGCGCGAGAGTGCGAAGTTAGTTGCGCTTCGCGCTTCGCGCAGCGCGAAGCGGGCACACAGCCGCCCATGAGGAAAACGCAAGCTTCACGGTGCGCGTCCACCCGGACTGGGCGCCGTTGGGCGCGGCGCACTTCAGGAAGCTCGTGGAGCAGGGCTGGTACAACGACGCTGGTGTGTTCCGCGTGGTCGAGGGCTTCGTCGCGCAGTTTGGCCTGCCCGCCAGGCCGCAGCCGGACATGCAGAAGATCGCCGACGACAGGGTGAAGCACAGCTCGAAGAAGAACAAGTTGCATAAACAGAGATTTCCAAGGCTCCGCGCAGACTTGTTGGATCTGCGCTAGGCCCCCCTGGCGGCGTCTTCGGCGCCGCCTCTGGCGCGCTCGGCGCGCCAAGGAGGGGGGTCGGCGAAGATCCAAGAATGCTGCGCGGACCTTCGACATGTTATCTGTTTCTGCAGTGTTTTCTTCCTCTCACAGCAACGCGCGGGGCACCGTCACCTTCGCCACGTCCGGCCCGAACACGCGCACGTCGCAGCTATTCATCAACTACGGCGACAACAGCAACCTTGACGGCCAGGGCTTCTCCCCCTTTGGGGAGGTGCTTGGCGACGGCATGGCCGTCGCCGACCGCTTCTTCAGCGGCTACGGGGAGAACCCGAGCCAGGGCAGGATCAAGCGGGAGGGCAACGCGTACCTGGACAACTTCCCGAAGATGACGAAGTTCACCAAGGTGTCCATCAAGGCTTCCCCCAGATCTGACAGTTCCTGAGGTTTCAGCCTGGTGTTGATGAGCTTTGGCAGCGGGTGCGAATGTTTGCCAGCATGGACACCGAGCAGTGGGTTCTTGTACTCTCGATGCGTAGTATATTGGCTGCGCAATCTTTGTATGCTGCGTTTTTGTCTTGCAACATGTGTGTATATATGTGTATATATATATATATAGAGATATATTTGGACGCATTTATCGATTGAGTGGGTTGGAGACCTTTTACACGTGGTGTTTACTTGGAGCGGGGTTTTGAGACTCATGTCTGCCCCGTTCGGACGTTCGGAAAAACGTGGTTCATTGCTCCCACGTTCGGGAGAGCCCCCGGTTCATCTGAACCGTCTGTTTTGGGAGCCCCCAAAAAATCAGGTTCATTTTATCACCCCCCTGGCACAATTAAGTGGTCATTTTCGTACAATTTTCTCAGCCCCTGACAAATCAATGATTCATTTTCCTCCAAATATTATTGGTAGTTTTCCCACACCCCTGACAGAATGAACCTGGAGGCAGGGGCATGTTGACTCACACTACGAACCGCCAAAAATGACCCGGCTCATTTTGCCAAGGGGATGAGGAAATAGAAAATTCATGCTTGTGAGGTGAAGACATGAATATAATGATTGATGATTGCTCAGGGGGTGGAAACCTGAATTTTCAATATTTGGAGTGGGAAAATGAATATCGTATCAATATTCATTTCGGGGAGAATCGAGATTATTCTGGTGAGGGGAGTGAGATACTGGATGTTCATGTTTGTGGGGTGGGAAATGAACCAAGCTGGAATGAACCTGATTCCTTGGTCCTAAAGGCTACAGGTCTCCAATACTGTCAATACACACATGAACCTGTGTATACATAACATATATATATATATGTATATCTACACATGTAGTGAAGTTTATTGGACGAAGCCTATGCGATGAAATGCTATGTGCGCTGCCAAATGTGTGGAGCATTGTTCGAGGCGCAATCTGTCATACATATAAACACATGTGTGTACACATTTCTATATACGTATGAAAACTAAGTGATGCATGCTGTGTGGTGCGATCTGTGTATATATATATATATGGTGCAACCTGTGGTGTATAATTCCCCGCGCAACATGCGCGCGTGACCACCTATCATGCTCGCGTAAGCATCCCACTCTCCCGCCCGCAATGTTTGACAACTCTCATCTGGTCATGATCTCAAACAGCGGACGCATGCGTGGAGATCTTCCGCGCAGACATGTCCGCCCTGCAGGTTTTGAAATGGTGGTGGCGATGATGACGACTGCAACGCCAACGACGATGGTGTTGACACTGGTGACGACGCTGATGTCGATGTTGATGACTGTGATGATGGGGACGGTGTCGACGACGACGATGGTGATGGCGATGAAGCTGATGGTGATGGTAGTGACGGTGGCAACGATGATGCTTGCGAGGATGGTGACAGTGGTGCTTGTGAGGATGATGAAGAAGTGGGCGCTCACAGAAATCAGAAATCTGAAGAGGGCGACGACATGGACGACGACTGTGATGACTATGGCGCCAGGAAAAATCAGCGAAACGAGCTGCTTCGCGAGCTCCTTCTGGATCCCCCCCCTTCGTCCGACCCGAGCGTTCTGATGTTCCAGTTTGTTTTAGCCTTGATCACCAGAGATGATTTCGAGTACCAAGAAGGTGCCAAAACCTGAAGGCTTTCACGTGTGGTGCCCTGGAAGGCGATACTCGTTCGACACCGTGTCGATTCTTTTTCTGGGTGCTCCAAATTATTTCTGGGACTAGGTCTCTAAGTACGATGGGAGCAACATACAGTCGGCCCGGATTAGTAGGTTGACCCTGCCAAGTCAAGGGTACCCTTGTGTCCTGTGTCTCGCGACCCATGCCTCCTACATTCCTATGACAGTGTGTCCCTCGGAAAAGGGTCTTATGTCCTCTCGGGTGTCCTCGGGCCCGTCCCTCAACACGAGGAATCTTCAAGAATAGTCAGAAAAACAGTCTGGGGACCCTTGTTGTTGAATATTCTTTTGGCCATTTTGGGGTATTTTTGAGTATTTGTTCAAATTTTCATCGAGAATCCCCCTGTCGGGGGACATGCCCGACTGCAGCCTGAGCAGCGCCCCTCGCCCCGAGGGGCAGCCCGCCGAGCCGGAGGCCGAGAAGGCACCGCCGGCCCCGGCCCCGAGCGCCGCCCAGGCCGCGGCGCCGGGCGCCGGCCAGGCCGACGCGCGTGGCGGCGCGGCCGCCGCGGCCGCCGAGCAGGTCAGGGCTCGTTTCGACTCCTCCCCCTCCTCCTCCCCCACCTCCTCCCCCTCCTCCTCCTCCTCCTCCTACTCCTCCTACTCCCTCCTCCTTCGTTTCGACGCGCGTGGCGGCGCGCCCGCCGCGGCCGCCGACCAGGTCAGGGCTCGCTCCCAGACATGATCGCGTCGTAAAAAAATCAGGACGGACAGTTTTTGGCCATTTTTGGCCCAGGCGGGGCTTCGCCGGGCTTCGGGACCGTCAAAAAACGACTCAGGACGACAAACCGGTCCTGGGGAAAGGATCGGGACTTCCAGGGACGCCGTCCTGAAAAAATCAGGACGTCGCATGTCTGGGTTTCGACTGCTCCGATTCGATTCGATTCGATTTCGGTGACTGCCGTTTCCGAGTCGATTCGAGTGGGGATTCCAACTTGGATGCCGGTTCTTCACTGGAGGCTTACCAGCCTGCCAATTTCTGCCGATTCGACTTCTCCCGACTCGGCTGTCGATTTCCGCCGATCCGATTCATGTCGATCGCCGAATCCGACTTATCGACTCGATTCTGGGATCTCCTGCCGACGCTCGTGGCGGCGCGCCCGCCGCGGCCGCCGACCAGGTGCCGGAGGGGACCGACTGTTCGGTGGCAAAGCATGGGTGCCTCGTGTGCCCTGGCAAGTCTGTCTTCAGCGTCGGTTGGCGTCGGGGAGTCATCCAGGGTCGATGAGCGTCGATTCAGCGTCGGCTAGCGTCGATTTAGCGTCGGCTAGCGTCGATTCGCAAGAGCCGAAAAGATGGTACGGGAGGCTCCCATGAGTTGCCACCGAACGACTGTACACCTACACCGATCCTGGCACGGTCGATCCTGCGCCCAGGCTCGGTGTCTATGCCTTCGTGTCCAAGCCAGGAGGGCGTATGCACCGATTCTAGGCCCAGAGGTTGGGCCTGGCCAGGATCGGCGTGTACAGTCAACCCGCATAGTCAGGGTGAGCGACTTTCCAAAGCTACCCTTGCATCCTTGTCCCTTCGGCCCATCCTTGGTAACTGTCGTTGAAAAACGTGGACATGGCCCTCCAAGGCCCTTGAATCCTCCTGCGCACCCTTATTCGTCGGGTTGACTGTAGGTGTCTAGCTGGTGCCGTCTTAAACAGGTGCCGGAGAAGGTGCCGGACGTGGCCGCGGTGGCGCCGCCGCCGCTGAAGAGCGGCGGCCGGTCGTGGCTGTGCGCCTCCGCCGCGCGCTGGGTGCTGGCTGGGTGGCTGCTGTGGCTGCTGTGAGCGGCGCGCGGGCTCTGGCCCTGGGCTCGCTCCCGCGCTCTCAGATTCGGGGCCATCGAGATGGGTTCGGAAAAGTATGGGTACGATGCCCAACTGCCCTTCCGGTTCATTTTGAACAGGACTCGCTATTCGCGGCGCCGCGGACGCTGTTCACTGAAGACAAGAAGCCGCCTGCCCATGAGCGGCCGCTGTGGGTTTTGGATAGCACTTGTTGCACCCATCTTTTCCGTATCCATTTCGGCCGTCCAAACGGATCTCCGACCATTTGTATGGCCCTCTTGAGGGGCAGCGGATTCCTCCTCCTCCTCTGCCTTCTTGCCGTGGGAAAAAAAAGATCTCCGACCATTTGTTTTTTTCAGTTCGGGCGCTTCTCCTCGATTTCGGCCTCTGGGGCCCTCTGTCGGGTTCCGGCGCCATCCGAGCCAGCTCCGGGGCGAAGCGCTGCCCCACGGGGGAGTGGTCGGGGCCTCGGCGGTGGCCGCGTCGTGAGCCAGTCATAGTCATGGTCAGACGTGCGTCAGGAGGGGAAAAAAGGCACACAGGCACAGTCAGTTAATCTTCGATTCCCATGGGAATCTGGGAAATCATAGACAGTGGGGGGGAGGACGAAAACCCAGAGATACGGGGAAGTATGGGGGATCTTGGGATTTGTGTGTATTCATGTGCGTGTCTCTGGGCCCCTTCAGTCTGGGCGTGGCGTCAGCGCCGCCGTGGCGGGTGCCCCGTGAAGCGGGTGCTTTGGCCAACGTGCAGGGTCCCGGCAGGAACCTTGGCAACGCTCGGACGTGTGCATTTTTCTTTCGGCGAGGACCATCGAGGGGCATCCTTGATCTTTTGGCGAAAAAGCCACGCACGAAACCGAAAAAACACAGGGAATGGACGTCCGAGCGATGGCCAGGAACGTGGCCTGGTGGCGTTTCACGCTTCCACTCTCGCGCGGCACGGTGTCCTCGTCCTCGTCCTCGCAGGGCTCATTTCGATTCCTCCGATTCGATGTGATGCGACCTCGATGGTTTTTGATTCCGCTTCGATTCGACTGGGGATGCCGATTTGGGTTTCGATTTACGTCGAGGACTGACGCATGCCCCTACGCATGGGCATGCCTCCCCGCCTCCCTGCGGGCCAGAGGCGTCTTCTCGAGAACTCCGTGCCTCCGCAAGGTCCTCTGGGGGCACGTCCCAACACCTCGGAGGCGCGCTCAGGGGGGGAGGCAGAGGAGGCGGGCCGTCTCAGAAGGCTCGGAAGGCCCCCCAGGCCTTCCTGGAAGCTTTTTCTGGGCCTCCCCCGAGGCCGCGGAGGGCGCCTCAGAAGGCCCGGGGGCCTCGGGAGACCCCTGGCCTCCCGAGGAGCTCTCCCTGAGCCACCTCGGAGGCCCCGCCGCCCTCCGAGCAGGCCCCGCCCCCGCCTCGCCCCCCCCCCCCCCCCTCGCCTGCACCCGGGGGCCGCGCTGCCGGGCGCCGGCCCTCGCTCCTCCTGGCTCTTGGCATCGCTCGGACGTGTGCATTTTTCCTTCGGCGAGGACCCTCGAGGAGCATCCTCGATCATGTGGAGCTGGCATCGCGCGGACGTGTGCATTTTTCCTTCGGCGAGGACCCTCGAGGAGCATCCCTGAGCATGTGGCGACCAAGCCACGCACGAAACCGAACAAAAACACGGGGAAGGGACGTCCGAGCGATGGCCAGGGCTCCTCTTGCCCGGGGCTTCTCTCCGCCCCGCTCTCTCCGCCCCGGCCCGTCCCCTGCCGCCCTCTCGCGGGGGGGGGCCCTCGGCCCGCGCCCCGCTCCCCGCGGCCCCCTCGGCGGCCCCCCGGTCGGCGGCGGGCCCGCGCTTCCCTGGCCTCGTGGGAGGTGCGGCCTCTCGGGGACGCAGCCAGTCCTTGGCTTAAGTTGGGCGTGTCCCCCTACAGGGGGATTTTCGACGAAAAATAAAAAGTATCCAGAAATATTCCAAAATGTCAAAGAATGTTAAAAAATGGTCCCCCGACTATTTTTAACCATTTTTGGATATCCCCCTGTAGAGGGACAGGCCCGACTTAATCCTTGGCCCATTGATCATCCATGGGTCAGGGACTGGCTGCGCCCAAGGATCAGGGGCTCGGATCGGAGGAGCATCAATGATTGAGACTCCTGCGGTATGAGCCCTTGATCCCTGGGCCACGGGGCTTCCGCACGCAATACCCAGGTCTCTCTTCTCCCTGCAGCTTTCCCCTCCAGTTTCACACCTCCTCGGCAGCACGCCTCGAGAGGCAGCCATCGGGGCATCGGGCTTGGCTCTGCGCTGTCGCCGAGGAAGATGGAACAAAAAGAGCCACTGGAGCCCCGATCCTCGTCAGCGACCACCCCCTCCCTCTCTCCCTCTCTCCCTCTCTCTCTTCCGCGGGGGGGAGGGGCGCCGTTTTCTGGCCATCGCGGGTGCCAGCAGAAGACGCCCGGCAGCGGAGTCTGATGAGACCTGCCCAGAGCCCTCCCCAGCCAGTCCTCCACCCCTGCTTCGGAGGTGGATCGACCTCCTACCCTGACACGTCGATTACGGACTTGGCCGTGTTCGGTTCGCGAGAGGGCGTCGCGGCCGTCATTTTTGCGGGTCCAGGTCCGTCGGTTTCGGTCCTGGGCCGTTTTCACTGAAGGGAGGTTTCCTACAGGGAGGTCTGTCCACCACCGACTGCTGTCTTCGGATGGGGCGGCCTTGGCCTCCGGGGCGGGGCGTGCGAGGGCGCGAAGGTGACGGCGCGCCGCGCATCCCGGGGCGCGATGCCCCAGAGCTTTACGAGGCATGAAACAATCACGACGGAAGTTTTTTTTGTTTTTTTTCAATATATATATATATATATATATATATATATATATATATATAAAAGCTAAGAGCCCCTCCTGTGATCTACCTTTCTTCCTGTTGTGTATGTATCTCTCTTTCTCTCTCTCTCTATATATATATCTCTCCCTTTATCTTCCTCTCTCTATCTCTCGCTCTTTCCCGTGATTGCTGTCCCAGATGCTTTCCTTTCTCATTTCAGCTATGCTATTTCTCGTTCGGGCCGCCTGTTTATTATTTGCTGCCTGCGGCAAGCTCCGCCTCTTGCAGCTTCCTGGGGGCCTCTTGGCTCTTGGAGGCCTCTTGGGGGCCCCCTTGGGCCTCTTAGTGGCCTTTGGAGGCGCCTTGGCGGCTTCTGTGGTCGTCTAAGGGTTTTCTTGGCCTGTCTGACGCCGTCGAAAGCCGTCATGGGGGTGTCTCTGGGCAGACTTGGGGCGCTCTGGGGGCGTTTCAGGGTCGTTTTGGAAATCTGTTGGGCAGTCTTGTTGGGGCCGTCTTGGAGGGCTCTTGGGGCTCTATTGGGGCATATCGGGCCGTCTTGGGGCCATCTTGGAGGCCTTATGGGCCTTGGGGACACAGTGGGCCTTCCTCTTCGAGGCTTCTTGGGTCGCCTTGGAGGCCTCTTGGGGGCCTCTTGGGGCGTCCTGGACAGTCTTGCACAGTCTTGGGCGCCTCTGGTGCCGTCTTGGGCCCTCTTGGGCCATCTTGGGGCCATTTTGGAGGCTTCTAGGGCCGTATTGAGCTGACGGAAGTCCGAATCCTCTGGTGCCGTCTTGTGCTAGCGCTCGCTCTCGCATCCTCTCGTTTCCGTAGCCCTTTGGTTCCAGTTGTTCATTTTTGCTACCATGCCAGCCTCGACGAAGGCGGCGCTCGAGAGGAAGCGCATCGCCAACATGGGCAGGGCACGCGTCAGGGCTGTGAAAAACTTCTTGGGCAAACCGTGGGTGGCGAAAGCCTTGAAGGAGGCAGTAGCGGAGTTCAAGGTTGCTGCACACAAGCGTCTGTGCGATGCACTTGCCACTGCTGCCCTTCGTTCCAACTCTCAGCACGACGCTCTCTGGGAGAAGAACAGGAAGCTCACGAGGCAGCTCAACGCAGCGACCTCCGAGAAGCAGGAGCAGGCAGACGAACTCAAGAAGCTGCGGCAGCTGGCGCGGGACAACGAGAAGCTAAAGCAGAGCAACGAGGAACTGCAGGAAGAGCTCGGCAAGGCCAAAGCCGCCCTCGCCGACCTCCGCTCAACGCAGGCTCGCTTCAACTACTGGGCAACGCCCCGGGAGAAGAAGCGCTTTGCTTGGCTCACTCTGCACCCCGCGAAGTGGGGTTCGAGGCGCAACCGGTCCCTTAGGGACGGCTGCATGGGCAGTCAGTGAGGCGCCTGCACGACCTTTGCACGGGGCGGCTAACGAAAAAAACACACGCTGCCGCATGGAGTGCTCGCCGCCCCCCGCGCTCCAGGGAATGGCGTTCGGACTTCGACTGCCAGGTGGCGGCATCTTGAACAAGATCTTGCTGTCGGGGGATCTTGGACAAGATCCCCCTTGCTTTGGAGGTTCCGAAAAAAGCAACTCGACTGAGGGGGAAACGCAGCAACCTATTAACGACGTGCTTTTCGACGTCCCTAAGCCGCGGCTGTTTGGGCCCAATCGCAGGGTTCTGCCGTTTGTGCTCAAGTGCACGGCTGAGACAGACCCCGAGTCATCAGGCGGCGGTATCTTGAACAAGATCCTTCTGTTGGAGGGTCTTGGATAATACCCCCCTTAGTCGCGTTCAGAACAACAAATCGACAGAGGGGCAAGCGGACCAACCCAATGACAACGTACCCCTGCACGGGGCTGCTAACGACACACCCACACGCTGCCGCACGGCAGGCTCGCCGCCACACCACCCCCCCGCTCCAGAGAATGACGTTCGAACTTCGACCGCCAGGTGGCGGCATCTTGGCAAGATCCTTCTGTCGGGGGATCTTGGATAAGATCCCCCTTACTTTGGGGTTCAGAAAAAATCGACAGAGGGGCAAGCGGACAAACCCAGTGACAATGCACCCCTGCACGGATTTCTGGGATGGGAATCACAGAAACCTTATGATTTCATTTGGGTGTTCTGGCTATTTTGGATTTTCTGTCTTAGCAAAATCAATCCAGGAGCCCCTCAGAGGTCTGTTATACGCCCCAGGGAATGACGTTCGG